AAAAAAAGGAAAAAAAATCAACAATAACAAAACTATATTGGTTATGCAATTGTTTGATAATAAAAACAGATCGCCATGTTTAAATGTAAGGCTATCGGTGTTGCTTAAAACTGTTCCATGTTCCAAACAGCCCAAAGCTGGATAATCACAGGATTCTTTAACCCAGAGTTTTGGCTTTTACTTCCCCTCAATCCTCAGCAACAACAAAACGATAGCTTAGGAAGGACTTTTCCTGAGCTGTATTTGCTTATGCCGTACATTTTTTTTTTTTCACTCCAGGTAATTTCTACTAAAGGCTAAGTGATGGTATGGGTGATAAACAGCTATTCTCACTCAGTAGAATACTCTGGACACCAAAAATTTTTAAATATAACTTCAAATTAAAGACGACAACAGGGAATCACATTTAATGTAGGCAACAAACCAAAGATAAATTTCCCTAACATTTTAGAAGAGTAAAGATAACTTCAGAGAATACATATCAACCCATGTCATCACTACAGTTATCTCCAATCTTCTTTAAGTAGTGAAAGAAACAGGCCTTTACCTGGCATGCATGTGGCTTTACCCCTGTGTGCTTCAGCATATGTATTCGGAGAGAGTATAATTTAGGTAATGTCCTTCCACATATGGAACATATAAATTCTCTTTTGGTTCTTCCCTTCTCAGATGATGCTCCTGACGCCTCATTCGATGTGGAATTGGATGAAGATGAATTGGGTGAATCCTTTCTCGTATGTCGTATAAGGTGTGCTCGCAATGAGGCACTATACTGAAACTGTTTTTTACATAACTAAAAAAGAAAAATGAAAGTTCTTCCTATATAAAATGTTAAGTGAAAATTCACATTTCTGTTTGCCAATTCTGGTTATAATTATAAAAATAAATAAACAAATACACGGCTTAAAAGTTAATATATATGGAATTGGGGAGATGTCTCAGGGGGTTAAGTACTTGACACACAACTCTGATGCTGGGTGGCACACAATCACCTACAAATACACACAAAAGATAGCCTAGGCCATATGAGACCCTGCCTCAAAATAAATAAATAAATAAATAAATAAATAAATAAATAAATAAATAAATAAATAAATAAATAAATAAAAAGTACTAGGTACCAGATTATAAACACGAGAAGGATAAGACTCTGGAGAGAATTAAGTATTTAAGAGGGCATAATCAGAGTAGATTTGAGTTGGGTCTTAAAGGAATAGCAGAGTTTTTATGTTACTTGGGATACAGGGCTTGCTTAATCTGTGTGAGGTCCTGAGTTTGAATCCTGGCACAATCACCAAGAGACTACCCCAGAACACATGCAGAAAGTATTATCAATATATAAACACCAAGAGTTTTCGGTGGAAATGAAACAGGGACTAGAAAAAGTAGAAAAGTTAAGACTATGAAAGTCTTCAGATTTTATCTTATAGTTACTGGGGTTCAGGAAAGCTCTTATGTGCTCATAAATTGAGGATATATATGCTCACCATATTAAAAATTTATTTAAAAAAAATTTTATTTAAAAAAAAAAAAAAAACCAAATCTCCTGACTCATCATTTCTGTATTGGCCTCTAGAATTAATTTTTACTGTCTCTTAATGTTTATTTTCTAATACCAAGTAGAGTGCATTTAGATTCGTCCTATGCACACTGTGTTATTGATTCCCATCATCTCACTTTAATAATCCAGTTATGTCACATTAATTACAGTTAGTTCATATAAAATCAGTTTTGTTTTGTTTTGTTTGTTTGTGTGAGACAGGTTCTCTCAGTCTGCCTATAACTTACCTTAAAGTCCAGGCCAGCCTGACTCTTCTCCTGCCTCAACCTCTGAATGCTGGAATTAGAGAGCCACTATACTTGGTTATTGGTTATGAATGCTATCAATACTTTGCTGCATTATATACTTTGATCCTTTCACTTTTTATTTTCTGTTTTGCTTATGTCTCTTTATATTACCAACTGACCACTAAAAATCTTCACCACTATAAATTTAAACAAACTGTCCCCTTGTCTTCTAATTTTAATTTTTGTCTTTCTGAATTTCACTGTTCATCCATGTCCCCAGATACAAACTTCATAGTAATAATCTTTTCATATAGGTTTCTTCTTGCTATCCAATGTCTTAGGCACAACCTTTTTGTGTGTCTTTTTTTTTTTTTTTTTTTTTTTTTTTGAGACAGAAGGTGGGGATCTGTGAAAACCAGAGGACTAGGATGATGTCTTCTCTTTTTTTAGTCCCTCTGTGTAGCTCTGGCTTGCCTCCATTTCACAGAAACCCATCTGCTGCTGTTTCTGAATGTTGGGATCTAAGGCAGGCGCCAACATGCCTTGCTCTAGATTTAATATTTTACGATGAAAACATCTGGCTTTTTCTCCCCTTCTTTCTATCCATACTCTAGAAACATTTCTTTAAAACTTCAAAACAATCTAATCTTCCTATTTATTTTCACTCCTGTTTTCTGATTCTCTTGCTCTATTTTCTGGGACATTTATTCAACTGTACACACCAACTTTTCTGAGGTATTTGTTACTATCTAGATGTTCTTCCATTTACAGTGGGGTCACATCATAATAAAGTTAAAAGTCTTCCAGTCAGATCTGTTTGTTGGAGACATGGGTATTTTATTTAAAAGCTGCTGTTTTCCTCAGTGTGCCTTTGCCCCTGGGTGTACATCTGACACTCTCTTGACTGCTCTTCCTGGTGCTGTGACAAAGGACAGGACAGGTGATGAAGGGGGAAAGTGCTGAGCAGCAGCCCTTCTTCAGAGTGCTCTGCTTCCTGACTGTGGACCTGATGGGACCAACACTTACTTCAAGCTCTTGCAGCCAGAATAAAGCCTTTCCCCTTCAATTCCTTTGGTAAGAGTATTTTATCGCCAGGCGGTGGTGGTGGCGCATACCTTTAATCCCAGCACTCGGGAGGCAGAGCCAGGCAGATCTCTGTGAGTTCGAGGCCAGCCGGGTCTACAAAGTGAGTTCCAGGACCACCAGGACTATTACACAGAGAAACCCTGTCTCAAAAAAAACAAAACCAAAAAAAAGTTCTAAGGAAGAATAATGAAAAGACCTGTACATGTTTAGTATAGGAAAAAAATTGTAAACATTTTAAAAGTTGTGTTTATGTGAGGAGGATTTTGTCTACATGTCTGTATGTACAAACACCACGTTCATACCTGGCGCCTGCAAAAGTCAGAAGAGAGTCAGCTCCTCTGGGGTTACAAATGGTTGTTAGGTATCGCGTGGGTGCAGGAAACCAAACGTGAGTCCTCTGCAAGAGCAATAAGTGCTCTTGCGGGCTGAACTATCCCTCTAGCCCTGCAAATATTTTTAACATGCACTGTTTGAATCTGTGGGTATGGAGTCTATCAATACAGGGGGCTTGACTGTATTTGGGTGTTTCACAGATGCAACTTATTTTTTACATAAATCATATTTTGTGGACTTTATTTCTTTTGGGGGACAGTTTCTCATTTATCTAATCAAGGTTTTCCTTGAACTCACACTCTTCCTGCCTCAGCCTCTATATGCTATGATTACAAGAATATACCACCACTCCTTCTTGCTTGGGAGAGGGTTGTTTTTTTTTTCATTATCAAGATCTTGGATTCCTCAACCTTTCTTGGAATCTTTTGTCCTAAGATTTGTGTATAATTGGGCAGAAAACGAAACAAAAACAAAAACAAAAACAAAAACCTAAAAATTTGTGTATAATTGTTTTTGTATAATTGGGCAGAAAACGAAACAAAAACAAAAAACCAACTAACTGTGGTGCAGTATGTAACTAGCATGTGCAAGGCCCTGGATGCTATCCCCAGCACCAATCAACACTGAAGTAGAGGCAGGATTTCTCAGTATCAACCCAAGGCTCTGGAGAGCAATACCATTAGGTCTTTTGTTATTAACCTTCAGATTTCTCTATTTGCAGAGAAAACATTTTGTTTTAAGGTTAAGGGTTTGAGTCCTAACATCATGGGACTTGAGTAAGGAAAGAACTTGAAAGGTTTCAATTTTCAGTAAGTAAACTCCTTTTTCTGGTTTGGGGTAGATAACTACCCTCACTGTACACTGTCCTCCCCAGGGCAGTTATAAAATTCAAATTCACAGAATCACTTTAAACATTTATTGGCAGACAGAATTTAGTTGCCTAGGTCTCCTCTTCTGCTACCTTACCTTTTAATGTTTTTTTAAATTTAGATTAATTTTTATGTGTGTGACTGTTTTGCCTGCCTGTATGTATGTGCATCAAACATGTGCCTACAGATGGTTGTGAGCTACCATGAGGGTGCTGGGAACCACAATTGGGTCCTCTGCAAGAAAAACAAATGTTTTAAACTGCTGAGCCATCTCGGTAGCCCCAAGTTTACTGTTTGTAAATTACAGATGGTTGTCAGCCACCATGTGGTTGCTGGGAATTGAACTCAGGACCTCTGGAAGAGAGCAGCCAGTACCCTTAACCTCTGAGCCGTCTCTCAGCCCCACTGTCCTCTTCTTGAGGATGCACAGAAGAAAGAGTATTCGGGTGGGGCAAATAATAACACGAATCAGAATCTTTTAGCAATATAATAAATGGTTAGGGGTGTGGTTAGGCATGCCTGTTATCCCAGTACTTGAAAGCCTGAATTAGGAGGACTGCCTCAAATCTGAGGCTAGCCTGAGTCACAGTGTAAGAGTTCATCTTCTATTTAGCTACACAGAGAAACCCTGTCTCGAAAACAAACAAACAAAACAAAACAAAAACTGTAGTCGGGATAACAGAGCAGATGAATTCCATTTATGAATGTAGGGTCATTTTCAGTTAGCTTTCCAGGTACTTACCGGGCATTTGTAATCTCTAGCTCTTTCATGTTTCAATGTGTGCATTATAAAGGCATATCGTCTTTGAAAAACCATTCCACATTCCCCACATTTATGAGACGTTTCTTCAGTGTTCTCCTTAGCATCCCTTTTGGGTTGTTTCATCTTTTTCCCTCTTTGAACTAATTTCTGGGCCACCTGAGCAGACAGAAAACACAATCTAAGAAAATACACTCATTATTTTTCAAGACGTGGTCTTGGTAGCAGTCCAGGCTGGCCTGGTATTATGCAGCCTAGATTGGCCTCCAACTCACAGCAATCCTCTTGCCTCACATGCAACACCATGTCTAGGCTCAGTATCATTTTTAAAGTCATGGGATTTGTAATACAATACTTCAAGCAGTAAACTGCTTCCCCCTTCCCTGCACATCCCCCTCCTACAATTCTTTCTGTAGGCACGAGTTCGTTACTAGAATGCCCTCAGCTAGAGGGACAAAAACCACCTATTTCACATCATACCTGCTGAACTGCCGACTTAGAAATGGCTTTCCGCTTCTGTAACTTTTTCTCCATGCCCTTGTGTAGCCGGATGTAGCCCCCTTCATTAACAGACCGCTGCCTGAGCCTACTTCTGTAAGTATCATCCTCTGGGCCTGAGTCTGTCTTTTCTGTGGTCTCAGTCGGAGCTTCCTGATCTTTTAGAGGCTGGTCGGGGCTCTTACTACCATCGGGAAAGTCTTTGGCACTGATGTCCCCAGGCGATGTGTCACTTCCTGGATCACTGTCCTCTTGAGAAATATCGACTACATTCTCTTTTGAAACGTTAGGATGAACATTATCAACTGTGCCCTCCTCTCTGATGACTGCAGTCTCTATTTCTGTTTGGTTGGTATTTGTTTCTAAGCTAGCAGTCCCTATTTCAGAATGGGGATTAGTTATACACTCTACAGGGGACACACTAGCTTCAGCCTCTGGAGAAACCTGCGGCAGAGGCTGCTGTCCTGGCTCCCCACTCTGTTCGGTTTCTGGCAATTCTCCATTTACCAGCA